CACCAGGCCACCCTTACATCCCAGTGCTTGGAGTTACTCATTATTCGATCCTGACACCCCCAGTGGGATGCATTTAGGTGCCCTTGGGTGTGGGTGTTATTTAGGATGCCTTCACAATATGTAACAGCAAACAATTTGGCTGTGAAACTTGCAAGTGTCCCCATGTGTTTTGGGCATCCAGACATCCTTTTAAGGGACGGGTAAGGCAACAGAAGGCCAGAGTAAATATTTATACAGTATGCATGTGTTTTATTTATGGGACCTAATGGGAGGAATGAGGGAAGCCACTGACCTTGATAATACACGCCTGTTGATTGTGTAGTAAAACCCGTACTCAGGCGGCAGGGGGAGTAGCTTTGGGCATTTTTAGGAGTTTTTAAAGGATAAAGGGTTTTATTTTTGACATTAAACTGAAGGGTTTGCTTGCAGGCCTCAAGGGGAAGATAACCCACTTCCCTTCCAACTCCCTCCATATTTTCTAAGCAAAGGGGCAATTTATACCCAATCCCTAAGACATTAAAAAGAGGGACCCCCTTAGCAGCCCAGTAGTAATGCCAAACTTTAGACACCTTTCCATAGTTATTATACTGGTATTTTTCAACCCACGCCCATTCAGTTTTTTGCATTACTTGTAAGGAGAGTACTTCAGAGAGGTTTGCAGGTGCAGCCCACAGCCCTATTTTTTTCCTCAGAGCGGGTTTGGTGGCACAGCCAGCAATCAGACAAGTGTCCCAATGTGGCTAGTCGTTGCAGGGATCTGGCCGCTGGGTGAGGGTTAGCATTTATAAAGGGCAAACTTGAAAGAAGTAGCCACAGCACCACTGTCCACGAAGTCATGGTTATGAAGCCTTAGGATTTAGTTCGTTGGAACAAGAGTTTTAGTCCCTTGAGAGGTTCGGCTTTCCAGGAATTGTCTGCTTCAGGCTCTTCCGGATCGCGGTGGGAAGAGCTGGTGGGGCTCCCTCGAAGTCTGGAGTCGTCTGCTTCTGGCCCCGGCCTAGGGGCTAGCTTGACTCGGGTGTGGTGAATCCAAGTGTCTCATAGAATCATAGAATCATAGAATATCAGAGTTGGAAGGGACCTCAAGAGGTCATCTAGTCCAACCCCCTGCTCAAAGCAGGACCAATTCCCAGCTAAATCATCCCAGCCAGGGCTTTGTCAAGCCGGGCCTTAAAAACCTCCAAGGAAGGAGACTCCACCACCT